AATATAGATATATGACAAGGACATGTTAATGTCCCATTTGTTACGAACCTTAGAATGTCACGTTTGCAAGAGAACAGCTACATTAAAATTCATTCAAACGTTAATTTAGTAGTGAGTATGATATTATGTTATTAAATATTAAAATTTCAAGATGAATTGTTATTTTCAGTAAGAGGACGAGTTTTTTTAAGCATAGGCGAAGTCCACTGTGCCGAACTGGTACGCTTCAAAAACCTCCTCTTAGAGAAACCAAATATTTTTCCTAGATTAGGTGACTGCAGCAAATCAGTAGGAGGAAAGATGCTGTCAATGTCATGATCAGTCCGCTCTTGCTCTGAGATGATTCTGTTGAGATTCATTGGAGCTGCCCACATAGGAACGGTCTTCTTCGGACAATCCTCATCATCAGAACTATCGTCACTGCTCAGCTCAGCAATGTCGTAATTATTATCAGCAACCAGTAATGGATCCTGAAAAATTAAAAGAATCATTTCATGACAACTATTTTCCAAGAAAATTTACCACAAAACAAACAATCAGTTTATTCCATGAGGAGAAATTATAAAAATTACTAAGCTCGTGCACAGAATAATATTGGTAATGTCATCATGATGGCAGACTTGGCAGCAAAATCATCTAAGTTTGGCCAATCTACATGTACATGCACCTTTGGTCTTGAAAATGAAAACAGCCAACTATGTTATGCCCAAAATTAGGAGCCCGGACAAAAAATTCCAAGAAAAAAAAACATATCCACTGTACCTGACTCATTGGAGTAATTTGATAGGAAGAAGCACATGTAGATGTAGTCGTTGTAATACATTTATTCAAAGGTGTAGTATAATGAGATGCACATGTAGTTGCTAGACTAAAGGAAATATTAGAAATATAATTGTTGAACAAAATAACGCTTACGGTATCGATTGCGAAGCAGTACTGACAGTGGTGCACGTAGTAACAGCAGGCACAACAGGTTTCTTGTGTTCATCTTTACCTAACTGCTTCTTTAGTCTTATTTGTTCTTTCATTTCCATTCTCTTACGCTGTAACTCTTCCTGCAATTGTTTCTCTTCTAAATATTTAATAGCATATAAATCGCCAAGGAAGGAAAATTGAGAGTTTTGCTATACTTTCAATAGCACGTTGCTTTAACTCATTCTCTCTTTCTTTCTCTTTTCTCCTTTGCTCTGCTGCTTGATGCCGTAGCTTA